TGGGGACAAAATCCAAATCATGGATTTCTTTTTCTTTTCTTTTTCTCTTTATCGTTGATATTTGTTGAAGTCTTGTGTGATTGCTTCTTTTATTCATGGGGTTTGTTTTGGAGTTTGGGATAATTGCAACTAACAATGGAAGCAAGATTTGGCTTTGTGTCAATTCCAATGGAAAATCAACACTCCTCCCACTTGTGGTTGGGGGATTTGGATGCAACCTAGGCTAGGGGCCACTTTTGGAAACCACACTTTCTTTTGGTTTTCAAACTCCTTTTTTTTTTTTTTTAATGTTTTACACCACATTATAATTATTTGTTTCCTGGGTCCAATTTATAAATATGAATTTAATATGTGTGAATATTTACAAGGGTTAAATGTTTGTCTAAGGTTTTATCTTTTCTTAATTTAATCAACAAGGTTATTAGTAGTAATTTAACCATCTTTCATTAAAGTATGTAATTTTTCATCTATAACATATTTAACCACTTGTCACATACATTTGCAAGAATAAAATGAATTATTACATAAACAGATAAAAAAAATTGTAGAACATTATTACATAAATAGGCATTTAGCCAACGTTTCGATTAATGAGTTGCATATGTTTTGGTTCTGTAATAAAATACAGTTGTATATTTCATATGTATGTCATTTTATTACATTAAGTGAAGTGATAAAAAGGTAAGACTTTGTTGTATAAACTAACGTTGAACCCTATGTATATAAGTAGTAAGCATGGTTCATACTTCATATGATGTTAGAGTAGGTTTGCAATAAAACAATACGGCCTCTGTTTTAAATTATGAAAAAGATGGTAAAGATCATAAAAAACAAAGTTACCAAAAAAGGAAGAGCACTAAATTGGAGTTTGGATATACTGCAAAAGTGCAGATCCACTCCCTTGGTTTTTTCAAGCCACTTTTTATGTTTTAACTTTCATGACAAAATTATGGTGAGAAGTTTTATTGTTCATTTCGAAAAATATATTTCTAATATGAATGAATTCAAAATAAGTTAGAATATAAAAATATAGTTTGTTGAATTGTTGATGCTGAATGACAAGATACTACCTTCCTTTCAAATTACAGATAATGACAAAGATCGTTAAAAACAAGTAAAAAGATCCAACTACTACAATGGTATTGAAATTACTACAAAAAACCTCCTTTTCCTTGGTTTTCGAACCCTTTTTAGTGTTTTTACTTCTTACTTCTTAGATTGAATGGTGTGGTGGCACCACACTCCACATAAGATGATGTTGACATTTTTGCAATCTTTGTCATTTTCAATAGAGATAAGCGTGTGATGTTGAAGGTAAAAGAGGTAAAATAATGAGAGAGGGTGATGTTTGAGTGGTAAATGAGAAGAGAGAAAGCGGTGGAAGTACACCGCCAGCGAAAAAAGCTTTAGGGTGCGGTGTGACTACTGGTAATCTTGTCCACCTAGGATTGTCATCGTTAAAAGTTGTATGATACCGTTCAGCCTTAGGACAAGAGTAATGTGGTAATATGTTTTTGTGGATCAAGTTTAGAATTTAATAGTAAACTAGTGGGCTTTCCCACGCGTTGTGTGTAGGACAGAAGATGTTGTTTTTGTACGTCTGTTCATGTGTTTCACCTTTATATAAAAAAATTGGTGTCGTGTTCAATGTGCAATGAGATGATAGGAAAACGAATAGAAAGTACAATGCTATAAAATAGATTTTCAATGTACAAATAAAAGTATGTTGCTATAAATTGCATTTATGCTTTGTGATGTTCATGGATGAAAAAACGAGGATGTTATTTATAAGACGGTATTTGTGTGTGTGTTTGAGAGAGAGAGAGAGAGCATAAACTCACTCCTCCACATTTTTACAAAGCAATCAAGTCATGGTCTCTTGTCATTGAAGCATGTTGTCTTAGGCTAACATCATAATCATTTATAGAAATATGTTGTTAATATTCATAAACATAATGTCAATGGAGTCAAAGGCAAGTAACTAAATAAATGAGAGTATAATGCCTTTTATGGATTTTTAAAGCCTATGTTTTAAACACATATAATATAGAGTATAAATAATAAGCATCTTAGCTCATATATTAGTTTCAGTTCCACAAAATATTTGATAACACTAAAATCACTAACAAAAATAATAAAAACATATAATTATTTTAAGATGGCTAATGTTTAAAACAAGAAATTTCGTTTACAAATGCATGTATTGCTGCTTTTAACTTTCAACGATTGCATCATAATAATATTGACAACAAATTGCAAAAATTATATTTGCAAATATTCATTTTTATGACTCTTTCTAGACGTGAAATCTTTAAGTATGGTTTCAAAGACAATATTATATTACATATCTTTATCAGTATATAACAAGGTTAAATTATTAAAGGTTGTTTGTCTAATGGTATCAGGTGTTGTCTTTCCTTTTTAGGGTTGAAGGTTCAAGTCTCGTATGAGATATAGGTGGGTGCCTGGCTGGTATTAAAAATATATTAAATTTGTCGTTCCAAAAATAAAAAACAATGTTAAATCATTTGATTTAAAAAAAAAAAAAATTGATAATCTCAAATAGATTTTGAAAATTTTCTTTGATAACTTCTTTTATTTAATAAACCGTTCTACAAAAAGAAATAAAACATCTAAATCCACGTCACACACAAGAGAAAAATGTTTTAGATAATTAGTACAATTTTTTCTAAATTTAGTTCTTTAAATCATATAAGAATCTATATAATCTTTTCCAAATATCTTTTAAGCGTTCGAATCTAAATAAAACAATTATCATACTAATAGTAGCTAATTTTTACAAAGACCAATAAGTTTTAGACCGGAGGGAGTAGTGACACATTACCACCGAATCCGCAATCCCTTCACGGTAACATAAGTGTCACGTTATTTTTTACCACACAAGTGTGGTTTCTTGCCACACCAAGGGAGTGGTGTCACACTTTTATTTTATTTTATTGTTTTTTGTTTTTTAACTATTTTAATTTAATAAAACTTATTTTTAATTAAAAAAAACCTAATTTTAAAAAGATAATATTTCATTAATTAAAAATACAAATACCATATATTGCTTAACTTAAAAATAAAAAAAAATAAAAAAAAAATAAAAAAAAATAAAAAAACCTAAAAATTTAGAAAAGCAAATTAGAAACATTAAACCTACAACTTATTAAAACACACACACACCAAACGATTAAAAATTTGAAAAAAAAAAAAAAAACTAGAAGTTAGCCACGATTTGCGTAACGTTTTTTCACTTCCTCCTTCATCGCCAAAATAACTTGAAGCTTATCCCCGGTCATTTCGACGTGTCTAACGATAGTACTCGCATGTCGTTGTCCCTTTGTTTCCGAAACACTCTTTTAGAAGCAATTTGCAAAATCTTGTCCATTCTATCTTTTATATATTTTATGTTGGCCCCCATTTCTTTCAACTCATCTGAATCTGACGCTTTGTCTTTGATTTTTGCTTTGTCTCTTTCCATTGGTCGAGAAGGTGGTGAAACTGGAACATGTTCATCTTCGTTCAGATCAAATTGAACACGACCATCTGATGTAGTGTGGTCGGACTCAGATGTTCTGTTGCGTTTTGAACCACTGTCGATATACTCATCTGATGTTTCGCTACTTTGCCATTTCTTGTTCTCTTTCACAAAATTCCAGACTTCAAGAAACTTGAAAGCCTTCAGGTTTTCTTTTTGATACATTTTCAGCATTGTACTCAAAAATCACATCATGGTTTTCTCCATTTTTCCATTGACGTTTCATGTTGTTATACAAATCATTAAATAACATGATTTCTTTATTCATCTTCCCTCATTTCGAGTACACTTGATGTTTTGAACGGTATTTTCCACGGTTCATTCCTTTATGGAACCTATGTAAAACGCGAATCCAAAAGCGCTCATGCTTTTGGTCTTTTCCAACCGTCGCATCTTGTGAAATATCGATCCAAGATTGTGCCAACACCACCACTTCTAGGGGTTCTCAACATTTAGCCTCTGCCTTCTCTGTTCTTTTAGTTGCTGCTCGAGTGGGTTGGGTTTCTGTAACGAATTTCGGTTCGGATTTGGAAACGGCCGTTTCTGCTTGTGTTTGTGTTTGTTGAACAAACTCGGGTTGAGACAAAAATCAAATGGATTAAAATCTGTGTTGGGTTGTGGTAGTGGTCGTGTTGGCCATAGTGGAAAATACGGAAACATACCGCCATAGTGCTAATACGGAGGTGAAAAAATCGGTTGATCAAATGAAGGTATTGGGGTTGTGGTGTTTCTAACATGTGTTTTTTCATTGCTGGGCCTTATGGAAGAAGAAATTTTCAAAAAAAATGGAGGAAAAGAGAGTAAAAGTGTAAGGATTTTGGTTGAAAGTTATGTAAAAAATTGTAAGTATATATATATAGAGAGTAAATAAATAAAAATAAATAAACAAATAAATTAACTTCAGACGCAAGGACCGTTCAACAGTCAAAGATGCAGCAACCAATCATAGCACGAGGTCTTTTCTAGCCACACTGCGGCTAAAACCACAAGAAACCATACCCAGGGGGGCGGTATTTACGATCCAGGTAGCATGAATGCGGTTACAAACTGCAACCCACTCCCAACAGCCTTATGATTTTAAAAAACTTTTCTCTATAAAAACTTACAAGTTTTTCATATTTTTTATTCTCATTTTGCTAAATTATGTAGCTTACATGTTGACTATCATAAACAACCAAAATAGAAATTTGAAAGAACATCATAAATGGTCCCTGTGTTTTCCCAGATTCTGAAGTTTAGTCCCCGTGGTTTAAAAATCTCATAGATGGTCCTTGTGCTTTCAAAACTTTTGACAGATGGTCCTTATCCCTTACACCGTTAGAACCTCACCGTTAACCCTTATTTCATTAAAATAATATAAGGGTAAATCGGTCTTTTCACCTTTGCTCTCTTCTTTATAACCAAATGCATGTCTATATTTTGAAAACCCTTCTCACACCCACCCTATTCTACTCTCACTCTACTGTGCATCCAATTGCAAAACGATTTCTACGAGTGTCGAAGATGGCGATTTGTAGATGTGGAATGGAAACAACGAAGTTGACCTCATGGACGGATCGTAACCCAGGAAGGTAATTTTTGAATTGTTCAAGATGTCGGTTCGTAAGGTGGGTTGACCCTCCGATGTGTGCAAGGGCGTTGGTGGTGATTCCAGGTTTGATAAGATCAATGAATCGATTGGAAGAAAGGGTTGCGATTGCAAGTGCAGAACTGTGGAACTATCGGTTGATCTTGTTCTGTTCATGGATGTTTTTTTTGTTTTTTTAACTAGTAAGGATCTGGATCGTAATAGGATGGGGGGGTTGGTTTCTTTTGTACGCATCTAACTAGTTTAGGGGGTTTTGGATTGTGATGGAATGGGTATTTTTGGTTTCATTTTGTTGTATGAAGTGTAACACATTAACTTAATGGAAATGATGATTATGTATTTTGTTATAAATTAGTGGTTTTGATGTGCATTTTCGTATGATACATTGTTATAATTGCATCTTGCAAACGGTTGGGAATGGTATTTCAAATCTACAATGTTATACATGCATCTTTTTGAGAAAGGTTTGGAGAGGGTAATTCATAAGCAAAATGTTGATAAAATCATTACAAGTTCGTGTTTAACCCATACAAACATGAGACTTACTTTCAACATACTTACTAATGGAAGGTCTTAACCTATACAAACATTACAAAAGACCTAATTACCATAAATTAAACAACCAAACCATAATTTAAGTTTCAAAAGACCTAACTACCTAAACATCCAACGAACTACTTAACAGAATTTCCTAAATTACCCTTTCCCTTTCCTTGTGTCTTCCCCTTTGCCTGTGTCTTCCCTTTTCCCCGTGTCTTTCCCTTTGATCCAACTTCACCAATGCCTCATTTCCCTTTACATGTTCTGGAATTGTGCCCCTTGTTATGACACTTTGAACAAGTGACTGCAAGAAATTTCCTGCTCAATTTAGTGGTTTGGTTGTTGGGCTCATCAACACCTCTCCTTCTCTTCTTTTTTGGCCTCCCAACCTACACATATGCATTTATTATATTTAAAACATTAACATACATGTTGGCATTAAAAGTACATATCTAGACTAGTTGACATAACAACCTGTGTGTGATGTTTTGGTGGAGTTAAAGTGAATGGACAATCACTGTTTGGCCATATTGAACAACCATTTATTGGATCAATTTTGTTCAGATACATGGCTCTCCATGTTGATAACTTATAGCAAGGATGGAGCCAATCCTCAACATCAGGGTCATGTTCTTCATTTTCAATTTTGTTCCATATAGCATAAACAACATGCCTACATGGAAAACCTGCAATCTCCCAGAACCTACAAGTGCAACTTCTTTCATTTAGGTTCACCACATACTGATCCTGCCATGTGCTTGCAACTTGGTACTTTCCTGCCCCATTATACTTAGCTACATACTTTACTGCTTTAGGCTTAATCTCCTCTAAAATTATAGTTGCAATAATACTTAGTTCCCCTTGATACTTATCTATTTCCTTTTGCACAACACACAATCTCTTCATGAGATACTCTCTAATATACTCTAAGCAGGTGATGATTGGTTTATCCCTACCTTCCTCTATCTTAGCATTGAATACCTCACAAAGATTATTCAACAAACAATCAGTGTGTACCCTACCTGTGAAAAACATATTCAAAAAGAGAAATCACAAAATTCATATTAAAACATAAAACTCAACAACTTCTAAATGACATACCACTGAAGTGAGATTTAGACCATGTCTCTGCAGGAATCTTACACAACCAAGCATGAGCTTCATGTAAAACTCAAAATTTAAGCCAAATTCAAATTTTTAAAAAACACGTCAAATTCATCAAAACATTAATACTTTGTTTTCAAAATACATTTATATCAGAGTTTTCCCCAGAAACATAACACAATAGGAGGAGCTGTACGATTAAGCCTTAGCCTTGCCACGATCCCCTGAGGTACCTGAAACAATAAACTGAAACTGTAAGCCCGAAAGCTTAGTGAGTTACCCCCAAAATACCGATACACATCCAATTCACATATCAATATCAACATTAGCATATCATATCAATCAAAACAGAACAGAACAACATGCACTGGGTCCACAACTTTACAAGCTGGACTACCCCTGGGCCCTCAGTACAAGTCTGGAATGCCTACCGGGCCCTCAGCTCGTATCTGGAATGCCATCGAGCCCTCAGTACGAGTCTGGAATGCCTACCGGGCCCTCAGCTCGTATCTGGAATGCTCTCGGGTTTGTTGGCCACCGCACGGAGCAGTACAACCTCAACCCACCCCACATAACATGTCGACATGTAACAGATAAATGCACATACAGGTAATCAATTAGTATCACAGGCCATCCTACAAATCTACCCGACTAGCATATCAACTGGCATACATTACTAACTCAAATCAACATATCAATGACTACTAGGATATCAAATCCAATGGGCCGGCCTTGGTGCCTTAGACCCCTTAGTATAGTGAGGATAACTCACCTCGCAACTGTCGTCGGAAATAAGAAAGCTCAACTCCCTGGTCCAACACGAACATCACCACCTAAAAGTACCACACAACCTTTTTCATAAATCTCCCAATCCCAGAGACCCACAGAATTCAATTGGTCAACCCCTTGGTCCAATTCAAAGTCCACAGTCAGAGTCAACAGTCCATGTTGACTCGACTCGCCGAGTGCAGGTCTCCGACTCGCCGAGTTTCCTAACACTCGCCGAGTTCAAGGCAATCTTCAACGAACTCGCCGAGTTGTTCATCCAACTCGCCGATTTTATGGCCATCTTCAACAGACTCGCCAAGTCCATGCATATCTTAATCCATGCAGCTGCTTTTTAAGCCATGGCAAGGCCCCAAATTACAGATCCCAGCTCCTAAGGCACGTTTATTACGTAAAGTTGCAATCTCTACGTACATGCAAGGCTCTAAAGGCCTGAAATGATCAATCTAAGCTCTTTAATGGAGTTTTACACCTTGGGAGAGCCTCAACCTTGCACAATCTGGGAACTTTATGGATCTAGAGGTCAAGGGAAGTCCAGATCTGAAGTTATAACTTCAGATCTTAGCTTAAACATGGAGAGTCCTTCATAGCACCCATCCAAGGGAGGTTCAAAGTGAAAAGAGCCTAAGGAAATAGATTATTACCTTCCAGAGAGTGATGTTTGATGCAATCCCTTAGCTTTTCCCGAGTTCCTGGCCTTGCTTTTCCCTTCTTCTTCAATTGCTTCCTTCTAAGGTCACTCCTTCAAGCTTGGACACCAAACACACACACACACACACACGTTTTAGGGTTTGAGAGAGATACAAGAGGCATAAGGGGAGGCTGGTGGAGGCCAATGATCCTTTAAATAGGGTGTAAAACCCCAGAATTTAGGGTTTCATCTGCCAGCTCCTACTCACCGAGTCCCTTTGTGGACTCGCCGAGTAGGTCACTAAAAACGCGTTCCAATCCCACTGCTACTCGGCGAGTAGGGCAACCAACTCGCCAGGTAGGACATAATACCAATTATTCTTTCATTAAATTTATACCTGGAATCGGCAAGTAGGGCAACCAACTCCACGTCCTCCTCTCTGACCCTGACCTGATGATACCCAGACCTCAAGTCTATCTTAGAAAACCAAGACGCACCCTGTAATTGGTCGAAGAGATCATCTATCCTCGGGAGCGGGTAACGGTTCTTCACCGTCAACTTATTCAACTCCCGGTAGTCGATACACATCCGGTGCGAACCATCTTTTTTCCGGACGAAAAGTATCGGTGCTCCCCATGGAGAACTACTAGGCCGAATGAACTGCTTGCCCAACAGTTCCTGCAGCTGTGATGACAGCTCCTGCATCTCTGGTGGTGCCAACCGGTACGGCGCCTTAGCAATAGGGGCGGCACGTGGCACCAGGTCAATCCTGAACTCGACCTGCCTTTCCGGAGGTATCCCTGGTATTTCCTCCGCGAATACATCTGCAAATTCCCTGACCACCGGCACGCCGGAAACCAAAATCTGGTCCCTGGCTCGCGTATCTACCACGTACGCTAGATAACCTATACACCCATGCTGAAGGTACTGTCGTGCCCTGGCAGCTGAACAAAACCCTGATCCCACTCTGGTGCCCTCACCATAAACAATCAGTTCTCCCCCACTTGGGGTTCGAACTACCACACACTGCCCCTCACAGTCGATCATGGCACTGAATCGACTGAGCCAATCCATGCCTACAATCATGCATACCTCCCCCATGGGAATCGGAATCAAATCTATCAGAAATGACACCCCGAAAATTTCCAAGTCACACCCTCGATAAACTGAAGAAGCAGAAACCCCATGTTCGTTGGCGATAGACACTCGCAACGAACACTCTAACTCGCCCACTCGTGCACTAAACCCCCTGCTAAATGTCTGCGATACGAAAGACCAACTCGCCCCCGAGTCAAATAAAACCAAAGCAGGCAAGGAGTTCACTAAAAATGTACCTAACCATAGGTGCCACAGATAAGAATGCAACATATATAAAAATAACCAGATAAGGATAGAAACATACCAGCAACCACATCCGGTGCTGCTCTGGCCTCCTCCGCTGTAAGCTGGAAGGCACGACCCTGAGCCTTTGGAGGCTCAGTCCTGACTGGTCTCCCATCCGTGATCCTCAAAATAGCCGGCGCTGGAGCCTGCGCCGGCTTGGCGGCGAGTAACGGGCAGTTATCCTTCAAATGGCCAACCTGATCACAATGGTAACATAACCTCAAACTCTGAACTGGAGCGGCCTGGCGACAATCCCTCGCGTAATGCCCCTCCCTTCCACACTTGTGGCATCCACTACCAGCCCGACACACACCAGAATGACCCTTGACACACTTCCCACATGTGCGGCTCGGCTGACCCCCAGTCCTAGTATCAGCAGTCTTAGGCCGCTTCGATGCCGGCTGAGAATGTGCTGGGGCCTGCCGCTGTTCCCTCAACTGCTGCTCAATCTCCAACTCACGCCGTCTGGCGGCCTCCTGCAACTCTAGAAGAGTATCCCATCGTTGGGTAGACACAAACTGACGGATATCCATCTTGAGCATACTCAGATAACGAGTCATCTGAGCCTGCTCTGAAGCAAACTCCGGGCAAAACATCGCCCTCTCGGTGAACATCCGGGTGATATCCGTCACCGACTCCCCATCCTGTCTCAAACTCAAAAACTCCTGTGACAATCGCTCCCGTTCAACCCGTGGAATGTAACGGGCACGGA